AATGGCATGGTGCCTTGTGCACCGGTTTGCCAGATCCAGCCTGGCCCACAGATGTTCTAGCACAGTGCTCCTTGGAACAAGCACAAGCAAAGTGTTCCTGGCAACGTTCTTCCCAATTGCAAAATCTTAGGAATAGTCTGGCAGGCTGGTGGATAAATAAAGTGTTTTATAATTGTATCAGTGCAGTCATGAAGTCAATGACAGGCAGCCACATCTCACATCATACCTTCTAACAGTAACAGTGGATGAAAGTTTCAAGACGGGGGATGCTGTGGTGTGTGCTAGAAAATGCAGGTGGAATGGGTTATTGTCAGTTCTGGATTAGGATTGGGTGTTTGGTGTTGATATTAGTACTCCTTGCATGAGAACTACCTCACAATCCGTATCTATGCATGAAATAAAATATTAGACTTCAAGCACGTTGGTGCGTAGTTCCCTTTCGAGCCCGCATTGGCGCCCTCTGGTGGAAATCCGTGTATCCCTCAAGCACTACACTGAAATGATTGCACCTCGTTTAGGCTCTAGGTGAGCTGAGGCCCCTAAGAGCCCCAGGAATCTCTTCCTCTACCCAGCAGGCTTAACCCTCCGCTCCTAGGAAAACAGTGTTGTTTGCACATAGAAATTTAAACAGCAGTTTTGAAGGGGGAACAGTCAAATGACAGATAAGAGAACATCACTCCTTTGATGTGGAAAACCGTTCCTAGGCTTGGCTTGCCCTTTGGACACTATGATGTTGCTGTTCTCTACTTGTTTTACTTGGAAAGGATTTTTGGCTTCTGTCAAGGTCATTATTTTTAATGAAGAGTGGTACTTGTGCCTTTTACCATAAAAACAAGAGATTTCCAGAAGAAAATTCTCCAATCAACTATTCTGAGCGTGTTTTCAACACCATCACTATTTCCCTCCTTTCTTACTATGTAGCCTTTGTGGACATCAAGAAAATAATACACTTCTACCTTTTCCCCATTGTGGCCTAAGGGTTAATGGCCACTGAGCATCCTCTTCGAGAACTTCTGGGATATTTTATACTTCCTTTTTGTGTATGTGAGTATGCATTAAGCCTGACAGAAAATATTTCTGCCATGTGATCTTCCACTAAACAAGGACTTATCTCTATGGGAAGAGGCCAGAGAGCCAGGGTGGTGTAGCCTGTCTTTTCTCTCCCCAGTAAATCTGTAGAAGATTTCACACACCTGGGAGCAAGGATAACCACATGACACAAAAGGACACAGAAGAAACAGGCAAAGAAGCTATTAGAGTGGATACTTTAATTAATGTTTACAAAATTAATTAATGCTTAATTAATTAACTAAACATTAGTGACAGGGAATCATCCTTATTTTGATAGGGAATAGTCCTAGCTTTTGATAAGGGAAACATAAACTTTAATTACACTGCCAAAAATTGATTTAGAAAATAAAAAGAAATATACTTGCACAATTTAAAAACTAGGAATTCTGAAACTAAAATTCTCAAGGGTTGGGGTAGAGTGGTATATTGCATGAAAAGTACAGAAGAAATCTATGCTAAAGGTCTCTTTCTGTTGAGGTCGCAAACTGTTGGTCAATGAAGTTAATGAAGGACATCAGTCTAGAGGCACTTTCAGATAGAAGGGTAACGTCTAACAGAGTAATAATCAGATGTTGGAACTCCACAGAATCAAACAAAAAGAAGAACAAACAAAATATGATCAATTCAGCAGAATATAAGAAAATTAAACACCAGTAAATTTTACCAGTAAACATGATGAATATGACTAATAATTCTCCTGTTGAGGGGAAAAACTTTCAAATTATGTCAAAACTATAGGATGTTTACAAGACACTTAGAAAGAACAGAATATCACAGAGATACTTCAAATGTTACAATGAATAAAGATGAACCAGGAAAAGAGTATCTTCAAATAATTAAATCCACATAAACAGGAAATACTTGTGACCCCAGTGACCAAAAGGGTCACAAACTATTTATACTGCTGAAGTCTTGGAAAGTTGCTGGCTCCCCAACCTCTCTCGCACATGGGAGGGGTTGTGTTCTTACCAATAATTTTAAAAATCTTAGATTTTCAGGAAGTTTCTTGGGAAATTTTCACTTTACTGATGAAAAGGACAGACAAGAGATGCTGTCTGGAATGGCAGAGAAAGAACCTCTGGAATCTCTTCCTCCCAAAGGGATATGAGAATACTAGCAAAATTGTCAACTAAAGACAAAAGTTGAAAGACACCCTCAGAGACCTGTGAGACTTCAATACCTACGCACAAATAATGAGAACCCCAGGAGGACAAAAGAGAATGGGACAGAAAAGCAGCATGAAGAAATAATGCTGAGAATCCCCCAAATTGAATAAGAAACATTTCTCTAGATATCAAAGAACCTTAACAAATTTCCAGTAGGATAAACTAAAGAAGAGCCTCATCCAGACATGTCGTTGTGAAACTGTCTGACAACAAAGATGGAAGGAAACTGGAAGACAGAAGAGCAAAGCCATCACAACAAGCCACACTCTCTACACACAGCAGCAGATAGATCTCCATCAGGACTGCAGGGGCAGAAGGTGCAAGCAACAGTTCATAGTGCTGAAAGAACCTCTGTATCTAGAAAAAAAATACTCTTCAAAAAAGAAAGCAAAATGAAGAAACTCTCAAATAAATGAACCGAGAGAATGTCATGGGGAGGCCTGTCTTATGAGAAATATTGAAAAGAGTTTTTTGAGCCAAAATAAAGGACACTGGATACCAATTCGAGTGTACATGATACATAGAATTAAACTAAGTTCAAAAGAAATAGTTTAGTAGGTGTAAAATATAAATTAGAAAAGATAAAAAGAGAATTGACAGTATGTTTTTTTTTTCTTAGTGGGGCTTAAAATATGGAAGCTACCCCTCTGTGGGATGGGCTTACAAACTTTTACTTTTGTTTCATCCACTTCTGCATTATTTGTATATTCTAAAAGTAGGTGTTTTAATTTCTCAATTAAAATTATCTTTTTAAATAATACTTTAACTCCAGTGAACTCTGTCTATATTGTTTTACTAATAAGTTCTTTCAAGATCTCAGAGTCCAGACGAAACTTGTCCTAAAGGGCCCAATCAATTGAATAAGAAGTTAAACAAATAAAATTCTTTGCTTCTAAAATGTCCACAGAACATCTGTTTTTTTCAAAGCATTTATTCCTATATAGAGAACTTTATGTTAATTGAGCACTCAACAGCATTCTAGCCAAAAGATTCAGAGTAGTGGGACCTTGCTCTGGCTACATCTGCAGCCTCAGATTCTCTGGGATATACATGTTCAAGTAAGATGTGGAGTGTGGCTGTTCTCAGTCAATGGGAGCCAGAGGCCTGCTCTATTTTTCACACCTGGCTGCTTCCTGTCCTCACCCCACCTTGACTTCCTGTCTGAAGAGATCTAACTCTGTCCCTCTGGCACCAGGAGAGACCAATGAGCAAGGGAACTTGTGGACCTTCATGAGCATCTGCCCTGAGTGGGATTGTTTGGGCCTGGAATAGAATAGGGTAGAGTGATCAAGACAGCTCAGTCTTCTCCCTCAGGGTGGAGCTCACCTGACACTGGCCTGAGGGGACATAATGACCCTACCCAGAAGCAAGGCAGCAGATATCACCAAGTCATACCTCAAAGGCAAGAAAGGTCCGGAAGCTCCTGCCAGAAGGTAGCATTTCTCCATAGTCAGGAGAGTTAACAAGCAGACACCAGCACCATAGCTGTGGTTTTAAAAGCAGAACAATGACTTATCCATGTCGATAAGAGATTATTCAGAGGAAAACTGAATAGAATGCAGTGTATGGTGTAAAGTCTTGCTCTTATGTAAATAAAAGGATAAAAGACCATAACCCAGATATATAAATGATTTGAATGCATTGTGTTTTTTATTTTCCTCATTTTTCATCACATTTTCTGTTGTACACAAAGATATATAACCAATATAAAATTATAAAATTACAATATACAAAGATCTTCCATATGTTACTCATTAGAAGACAGAAAAAGTCTCCTCATGCTACACATATTCATATACACGTGATCATGCACACACACATGGTTCACAATATACCTAGAGGCAGTAATTGAAAAGTAGATATGAGACTGTATGAAGGAAATAATTAGTGCACACAAGATCCAAAGAGATGTAGAATTCTACTGTGCTTTTGGATAAACAAAGTTTTATTTGAAAAATGCAAATTCTTTTAAATTTAACTCACTGAAATAAGGCAAATTCAATAAAAACCCCTAATCTATTTTTTTTAGAATTTGACAAAATGATTCTGAAGAATAATTTCTACCAAATTTTCTACAATAAAATATACCTCTTTAAAAATAATCAGAGATTAAATTTCTCAAAACTGATAAAATTCTTGCTTTTTTTATTTCTTCCACTAAATTGACCAGTTATTTTGACAAAGTAGAATGAGATTCAGAAGTTGAATTTCCACCTCTGCCCTCAATAGTTTTCAACTAGTGACTAGTGTAGTGGTAGGGTATTGGGGCTGATTAGACAAATCTCTTGATCAGAAATTAAGAGACATTTGCTTGCTGGAGCTGGTCCTTTCCTGAAATGGCCAATGCATAATTGGTGTGCTCTTACATAAATCCTACCCAAACAAACTCATGCAAACATTAATCTGAATATTCCACACCATTCAACTCTTATCAAGGAGGAAGACAGTTCCCCATCCCCTGGACTGGCCTAGGGATTTAAAACAAGGAAACCTTCTCATTTTATTTGGAGAATTAGTGTCCTGGATGTGTTTACTGGCACTGTGACAGATGCCAGCAACCACGGTATTGACAGAACACAGCCTTATATTTGTCAGGTCACTGTATGAAACTTCTAAGGACAGCTGATGCAGGGATTTCTTTGAAATAATAGCCAAGATAGCTAATAACAAACAAATACTTGGCCAAGCGAGAGGTAAGGTGGCATTGGTTGGTAGGTTACCCTCCTCTCAAAGATGCATTATAAAAGCTTTGCCTTTCCATAGATCAATCCCATAAGTCAGGGGTAAAATCCCAGAGAAGCCATGGGTGCACTTGGCATCACCATCGCCCTGTTGGTGTGGGTGGTCACCCTCCTGCTTATATCCATCTGGAAGCAACTCTACAGCAGCTGGAATCTACCCCCTGGACCTTTCCCACTTCCTATTATTGGGAATCTTTTACAGTTGGATATCAAGGATATTCCGAAGTCCTTCACCAGGGTAAGAGAAGTATTTTAATTTTAGGAAAAATAAGTTAGGAATTATATCTAATACATGTGTATTCAATTCATTGCCAAATTATTGCTATCTAATACCAGCCTGTTATGACTTAACTGAATAATAATACCTGGTAAGGTGTGATGTCCAGAAGACTTACCTACTGATAGACAGTAGGCCCAGAGCACTCAGGAAGGACTTTGGCCTCATAGACACAGGAGGTCCCATGTACTTGTCATGTTTATGGGGAAACTGGTGTGGCCAAGTTGTCAGGGGCCAGCTCTGATGCCAGCAATGCATATGACTGGCTAGTGTCAGCCTGTGTGATACCAAAAAACAGGCTGAAGAGTGAAATGTTGGACCAACTTGTGTTTCATTGAATACCAACACTTGCCTCCTGCAACCGCTGTGAGTATTGTGTGAGCTAACCAAGGTCACAGTGTCACCAGGCACAGAGCTGGTTCTTGGTGTGTGTATTAGGAAGTGTCATTTTACACTGCAGAGGGGGCACAGGGCACAGGTCAACAGGCAACACCATGGGGTCCAGATCCTCGATTTTGGAAGCAACAGTAGGGTCATGGGTGCAGGCACTGAAGCAGCAGCTACAGGGAAGGAGCTCAAAAAGGCAAAATTCCTGGTGCTGACGTTCAGACTGGAGGGTCTTCCTACATTAAGCTGGACAAAGATGACTTTTCCCTAAATCTAATTTCCTGATGGACAACAGTAACTTTAACAGCGGTGGGGAGGAGCAGTCTAGAGCAGGGCACTTTCTCTGCATGTTTTCACCCACTCTATGTGGTGGTCCCCACAGCTGGCCAAGCGCTATGGGCCTGTGTTCACACTGTACCTGGGCTCACGGCGCACAGTGATCCTACATGGCTACAAGGCGGTGAAGGAAGTGCTGCTGACCCACAAGAATGAATTCTCTGGCCGAGGCGAAATCCCCGTGTTCCAAGAATACAAGGACAAAGGTGAGCCTGCTTTCTGGTCGTGAGTAGGGGATGCCCATGGGGACAATAATGGCTGCGCACCAGCCAACCAGCCAAATCCTAACCTAACAATAATAGTGACAGCCATAGAATGACAATAAAGGCCCAAAAGGCACTTCAAACACACTTCAGAAAACTGGTGCTAGATAGTTTGTGCATGGGTGAAAGCTGCTGTGAGTAGTACAGTGTATTCAAATGGTTGGGACTCCAGGCACCCAAGTTGACTACAGAAAGGTAGAGCCTGAGCCGGCCCTCTCTGAGAATCCTGCCTCCAGTTCTGCACTTGCTGGGATTCTTTCCACTCATAGTTTCAACTGCTCTGTAGTGTAAATTGTTCCATCGACCCAGGTCTCTCCACCTACCGTTTGGTACCCAAGCCTGCTGGGCACTATTATGTGGGATTTTAAATTGATGACCTCACAGTGTATGCTCTGCCTCTTGATTTTCCTGAACGTCTTCCCAGTCTCTCTCTGAGGTCCTGTCATCTTATACGCAGTGGCATTTGACCTTCTCTCTCCAGCCCTGAGATTTGTTTTACTGTGCTAGCTCAGTAAAAGCAAAATTAACTATCTCAGCCCTTGTTATTACCTCAGAAGTTGTTGGAAGAAGATTCTATAAGATGGGGTCCCATTGTAAAGAGCACAGTTCTGATTTGGGGCCTTTATCTTATGGGTCCAAGGCACTTATTTTGAAGGCACTTATTTTGAAGGCAGCAGGAGAGTGGCCAGGATTTGCCTCTCCACAGGTTAGGCTCAAGGGGTCTTTGCTGCCTCTGCTTAGGTGCCCCAAAGTCCTATTTTTATACCTCTGACATGGTCCAGGATAGAGTAAGAGAAGGAGAGTAGAGGGTAGAAGGATAAAGGCAGGAGACTCTGGGACTCCAAAGCCTCTGCTGGGTAGGAGCTGGCTGAGACTGGGCAGGGTGAGCTGGTCCCCAGGGGATTAAAGGTCTTCACAGAGATGAGTTGGTGACAAAGGTTCATATCTTGAAAAGAACAAAAAATGTTCATAGGATTGACTGTGATAGGGATGCAACATTTTTTTATTTTAAAGAGAATTTTTTTAAAAAAAAAAGAATAGCAAAATACCAACTATATAGACAAAACAAAAACAAAGCAAAAACAATAAAAATGATACAGGGTTTCAGAACAGAATGATAGTGATTAACAGTGGTCGTTGTAGGACATATTTTTATCTTTATTGAACTTGGTCAGATTACCAGATATAAGAATGCAAGGTTAATCAAATCATTAAAGAGAAGAAAAAATAAAAACAAAAAAATTATCGGTGACACAGAGTTTCACCAAATAAGAGGATAGGAATTCAACAATAGTTGTTATATTGCATATTATTGTCTTCAAGTTAGTTGTTCAGATTACCAGCTATATAAGCATGCAAAATTGGTCAAAAAATAAATAAATCATTAACTGTTCTTTTCAATAAACCAGTAGACATCAGACAGTACAGTTATCCCAGCTATCCTTATTCCAGTTGTTTCTTCTTTTGAGCAATTTCTTTCCCTGCAATGGGAAGTGCTGTGGTCCTTGGATCTCGGTCAACCCATTGCTGTGAAGCCAGAAAGCTGAGCTGTGATGTTGGTAGTATGGGAGTTAAAACCCATGAAAACAGAAAGGCTGCCCAAGAATTTTGTCAATATTCAGGAAGGAGGTGAGAATTCTTTCTTGGAGTGGCCACCTGAAGTTTTATTTGACATGGATAAGTTCAGGGAGAAGTGGAAAACCAAAGACAATAAACTGGAGCATGAAGAAAGCATCCAGCAGGGATTAAATGTGCCAGAGTAGCATGGCACATCCCCTCCTCCCTCTCGTGCTTCTGCATGCCCAGCCCACTGCCCCCAGAGCCTTGTCATGCCACTCCTCCCTCTAGCCCCATTTCTCCAAGAATTGGGCATTTGAAGTAACCTCTGCTAGAACCTCTTCCATAGGAATTATTTTCAATAACGGACCCACCTGGAAGGATGTCCGGCGGTTCTCCCTGAGCATACTCCGAGACTACGGGATGGGAAAACAGGGCAACGAGGCACGGATCCAGAGGGAGGCCCAGTTCCTGGTGCAGGAGCTCAGGAACACCCAGGGTATGTATCTTCCAGCAGATGGCAGGGGCGGGGAGTCCTGGCCAGTCCCCCAGACTGCACTCAGCAACCTGGAAACAGCTGGTAGCTAAAGGGATCCTTGGCAGGGGGTGATCGTGTTGGTCTTCCTGACGTGAGTTTCCAGTTATACTTCTGAGGCGAGCAAGAGTGGGCAGGTGTGATTGCTGTGCCCTAGATAGCGCTGAAAAGCAAAGAACACCTAAAGTGGTCAAAATATGTGCTCTTGTGCTTGTTAAATTTTTAAGGTATGTTCCCATGGGCATTGACAGAGATGTACGGGAGACTGAGTTGTGGACGGGGAAAGTTTTGGGGACCATGTTCACACTCCTCACCCCCACATGGACGCTGACATTTTACCTGTTTTGCAGGCCGGCCTTTTGACCCGACCTTTCTCCTCGGCTGTGCTCCCTGCAATGTCATTTCTGACATCCTCTTCCACAGGCGTTTTGACTACAAGGACAAGACAATTCTGAGGCTCATGAGCTTGTTCAATGAGAACTTTTACCTACTCAGTACTCCCTGGCTACAGGTGAAAGCCTTTCCTTCCTATCCATTAATCTTCAACTGAATAGTTTACATTAGATGAAAGAGAAGGAAAATTTGGTTGTATGTAATAGACTGGCCTACAAAAGCCTGAGGTCAGGAGCATCTCGGAGGGTGTTTGACTAGGTAGCTCTGAAAGGCATCTGTGGGGCCCTCATCTTCTAACCTCAACAAATATATCAACCCATGTGTGCATATTTTCACCACTGAGAGTACATTGCCTCCAAGAATTGCCTCCAGAACATAGTGTTGGCCCCAAATATTCTAAATAATTCAATAATGGCAGTAATAAATTCAAATTTGAGAGTTATTACTTTAGCACACAAAAATTATGCTGCATCCAGAAAAAAATAATAATATAATTCTTTCTCTCTTCAGCTTTACAATAATTTTTCAAACTACCTACGCTACATGCCTGGAAGCCATAGAAAAATAATGAAAAATGCATCTGAAATAAAAGTTTATGCATTAGAAAGAGCTAAGGAACATCTTCAGTCACTGGACCCCAGCTGCCCCCGGGATGTCACTGACTGCCTGCTCATAGAAATGGAGAAGGTACCCACAATCCACCATATGAGATGGGCTTGCTGGGACGCAGTAGGGTGCACACACTTCTCGTACTGATGTGATGATCCACTGGCTGGTGTTCAGACTACCTACTGTAGTCTTATACAAACATACTAGGCTTAAACATGATCACTTAACTGCATTCTTCACACATGGAGGCACAAGGATGAGTGGGCTGACCATAGACCTCTCATTTCAGCTCCCTTCAGGCCAGGCTGGGCTGTAACCCTTTGATAATCATATCTTCTCTGAGAAGCCCTCACCGTGCCTTGTTTATACTTAATCCCCAATTATGCCTGGTTTCCAGGCATTCCCAATGCTCCCCATCCCCATCTGCCTCCATTGGATCTTTCCTCTTACATTCGTGGGGCCTCTACTCCTTTCCTTTTCCTATGGCCTGAAAACAAGATGTGAACTCCATGCTGCTTTCCCCTGGATAGCTTCCTAGACTGTCTGAGAACCCAGCCATCAGTTTAGTCCCTTCTTGCCTCTCCTTGGCCCTCTGCCCAAAGGCATCAGCTTCAGGGCACTGTTGGCAAAGGCAGAGTCTGGTGATCTGGATAAGGATCTCTGCTTTCCCCCAGCCTGTTTTCTGGGAGCCTGTTTTCCCAAGTGTGAGGTGGAGATGCATGCGTCCCGGTTGCACTGTCTCTTATACCTTAGCTCCTACCTCATGAAAGGCAGCAGGTGTCCCCTTTTCAGCCATCCAAAGATATCTTCTCACCAAGTCCCTGTCTGTCTCCAACTTTGAAGGAAAAACACAGAGAAAAGCCTCCTATGTACACAATGGAAAATATTTCTGTCACCTTGGCCGACTTGTTCTTTGCGGGAACGGAGACTACCAGCACCACTCTGAGATATGGCCTTCTGATTCTCATGAAGTACCCAGAAGTTGAAGGTACATAAATGATAAGCAAGATTCCAAGGCAGCACAGTTGAGTCTCACCACATGGCCAGCCTTGTGCATGTTGGGCTGCAGTCTACAGATGCTCATTAACCTTGGGCGCTATGGGATTGCTGAATAAATTGTTTTGAGGGCAGATGTCCTTGTAAGTGCAAGGCATCTGATAGCCTTGAGCAGCAGCCAACCCATACCCCCCACTGCCACTGGGTAGGTACAGAAAAGGATTGCCCACGCTGAAGTGGAGAGAGGCAGTGGGTCTACATTCTGCTCTCTAAGTAACTTATTTATGTTAGTGAAAGTAATATTCCAGTTGCCTGTGAGGAAGATAGCCATCTAGGGTAGTGACAGTCAGGGGAAAAGTTGGGGAACTTCCTGGGGTATCTTTCCCCACAGAGATTAAACAGGGAACCCAAGGAAAAACAACCTGTTGCTCTGGAGCCACTTTACTCCCTCAACAGGGCTACCAGAAGCATCTTGGCAGGTAAAATTCAGTGTCTGGAGGCGCCATGGCGGTCTGGTCCTGGTGTGCAGAGTGTCAGGTCCTCACCTGCGCCATGTAGTTGCAACATGAGAACTCTCAAATGTAAAGAGAGCAATGTAACCAAACTTCAGAGGGAAAGAGTGAGCCCTGGAACCCCTGCCACTCACTGGCCTGGCCACAGAGCAGGGCAGCTGCTCCCCAGAGCACACCACCAGAACCATCCCCATTGCTGATAAGAACATGGCTCTCCCTAAGTTCTGGGCATGATGGTCACCCTTCAGTATGCAGTGTCTTCAAGCTTTTCAGTTCTTGAAAGTTGACGTAAGATATGAAGCCTTTGTTTTTTCCATTACACAGAAACGTGAATGGTGAATTTCAAGTCCAAGGACAATGCCCAAGTACATTGTATAGATTTGCAACAAGTGTAAAAGCTTTCGACCACATTGTACTAGGAGAACCATGGACTCAAAAATCTTTTAATGAATAATTATGAGAAACCAAATATAAACAAAGATAGAGTAAACATATATACACTGCCAAATTTAGCACGAATTAATGTTTTGCAATATTTACTTCAGAACTCTCAAGAGGAAACCATGTTACAGAATCAGCTAAAGTCTCATAGCTTCATGCCTTCCTGCCTCTCCTTTTGTTGAAATGGCCATGTTTCAGTATTACTGTATGTCACCCCCATGTGCGACTATGTACATTTACTATTAACTAAATTACAATATATGACACATATTATTGTTCTATATGCTTTAATATTTTACCTGGGTATCATGCTATGCATACCTTTTTTGCAGTTAGCTTTTGTCACTCAACAGATTATAAAGTTCCATAGGAAATATCAATTACAAGTTAAGAAACTCACCAAAAGATACAGTTATTTCTGTCATAAAAAGGTTTGATTTTGAGACTGGAAGTAGACTGTGCATGTCTAATTCCATTCTATCAATTCCCTTCATACTTTTTAGAAATATATAATAAACCAGTCTAGGGTAATCATTAATGCAAAGATTTCTCTCCAAGAAAATATTTTCAAGACCCTTTTTTTATTCTCACCTCCTGACATGAAGAAAACTGGATAAACCATCAGCAGCTAAGATAATAGATACCAAACTTTCTGTAGACTATAAATAATCTCATAGAATTTAGCTCTTATTAACAATTGTTGGTAATTTACCCAATAATTCAAAGGACCTGAGGTATTTTAAGCACTGCTTAGTATGCTCCATAAACAGCTTCTGGGTAAGTTTGATGAAATGATGGAAAAGTGATTAGATAGATGTGAAGATGGATGGATGGTTGGATGGAGGGGTGGATGGTTAGATAAATGGGTGGGTAGGCAAACAGGTAAGTAGCAGATGGGTATATAGGCGAGCAGATGCATAGGTGTAGGTGGAGAGATGGAGGGATAATTAGATAGATGGGCGAATGATAGGTGAATATCTAGTCTGGAGTCAGCCTTCCATGTTGATTTCACTTATCTTGGCAGAAAAACTTCATGAAGAAATTGACAGGGTTATTGGGCCAACACGCATCCCAGCTATCAAGGACAGGCTAGAGATGCCCTACATGGATGCTGTAGTACATGAGATTCAGCGATTCATCAACCTTGTGCCCTCCAACCTGCCCCATGAAGCAACCCAAGACACCATGTTCCGAGGATACCTCATCCCCAAGGTCAGACATGAGCTGGAATGCAGCATGAGCACCATCCTGTCAGCCTATAATTTCATCTGCCAGGAGAAAGATAGGTGATAGGCTCCTCTCTTTGTCAGGTGTGGTTAGATGACTAGGCTATGGCAGCTCCCCACCCTGCAGAGTACTGCTTCCCCAGCAGTCCTAGCATGGACCTAGGACCAAACAAATTGAGGAACTCTGGGAAGGCACTTAGGATTGGCACCTGGGATGTCTGGTAAATTCCAAAACCAGGAACAAACAGCTGCAGCAACTAACCCTGGGGTCCACCCTGTGAAAAGTGTAAGGTTTTTGTTTCATTTAGACCTGACCTCAGATTGCTTTATATTTAGTCCTTAAGTAAACAACTTTCCCAACTGGAAAGATACTACCTTGGGTAACATAAAATTCAAACAGCCTTCTTCACTAGGGTCCCCAGGTGAAAGACTGCTTTGTTAACTTGACTGATGGAAACACCTATTCTTCCCCCAGGGCACAGTTGTCATTCCGACTCTGGACTCCCTGTTGTATGACAGCCAAGAATTCCCAGATCCAGAGCAGTTCAAACCAGAGCACTTTCTAAATGAAAATGGCAAGTTCAAGTACAGTGACTACTTCAAGGCATTTTCTGCAGGTAAGCAGAGTTCAGACACAGCACTTTGCCTAGGTAATTTCTCCTTCACTCCTCATCTCTACTCCATGCATCATCTGGCATGGATCAACCTCCTAGAGCCATCACATTCCTCATTTCTATTTAAAATATGATCCAAGTGTGCTCCTGCTTATTCAGAGAAGTTTAGTGACATTTTTCCAGGCATCTGGAAGATGAGGTGTAGATGTATTACTTTTTCAAAGGGACTTTTTGTCTCCTTCATTGTTAAACTCTGTTTCTACTTTAACAGAGTTTAGGGAAAGTCTCTCAAAACTATGTTACTGGAGGAAGCTGAGGCAGGATGATTGCAAGATCAAAGCTACCCTGTGCAACTTAGTAAACAAGACCCTGTCTCAAAATAAAAATTTAAAAAAGGGAGTCAGGCACTAAGCTCAATCCTCAGTACTGCAAAAACAAACAAGCACTATATTACCTAATTATCCATAATTTTAAACAAGAGTTACTAAACAGACTCTGACCTTCGGTCACCTGAACTCATCATAGGAAGCATCGAAGCTATCCTGGGATGTGACTCAGTGGCCTTCTGAAGCCCTTGGCCCCTTCCCAGGGCCTTACCTCAGGTCTTGGTGAAGGAAGATCCTACAGGCAGCTTGGTAAAATACCCACCTTTCATGCTTTGACTGCTAACCTGGCCCTACTTCCTGCCTGTAGGGCATTGTGTGGCATACTCTTCACTGGGCAGAGACCATTTTCCTTCCTTATGAGTTTTTGCACCTGAGTTCAGGATAATTGATGTCATATAAGAGCTGGTCTCTGAATCAACTGATGTCATCAATATTCTTGTTCCTTAATATGTTTTACGTTTCCTTCAGTAGAAAAGGAGAGTAAATCCTGCTTTAGGACAGAGTTTCCCCACAGCCTCCTCTCACTGTTAAGAATCTTGTGTCTCTGAGCCTTTGTCTCATCAATGCTGTTGTACTTCTAGGAAAACGGGTGTGTGTTGGAGAAGGCCTGGCCCGCATGGAATTGTTTCTGCTTTTGACTGCCATTCTACAGAATTTTAATCTGAAGTCTCTCGTTGAGCCAAAGGATATCGATCTTAAACCTATCACAATTGGCTTTGGCTGCGTTCCACCACACTACAAACTCTGCGTCATTCCCCGCTCATAAGTGTAAGGAAAACACATTGGGAAACACCTGTCTCCTGAGTGCAGCCTGTGACAGCCTCCCAGGGCCCAGAAAGATGCTCCCCAGTCAGTGAGGACCAGCAGACAGGCTTTCTAGAGTCAATCTTCAGACAACTTGAAGTAAAATTCGAAGATTTATTAAACTAATTAAACTGTGAGTCTGTTCAAGGCTGTATATAAGCCTGGAAAACAATGGTAATTAAGAATCTCACTGTGAATTCAGCTGTGCTCTTCTGAAGAAGTAGGAATGTTTACTCATCACAGTCAGTATCTACAAAGGACAGATAAAAAGGAGTGAGAGTACTATAGATACGGTAGGATTTATTAGCCAGGTCAAAAGCAGTTCCATTCCCATCTTGCCTTAGGATGTAAAGTTGTTTCTTGGTGTCACTATGAGCATCAGTCTTATGGTATTTATCTTATGGTAAAATATGTATATAGCAAGTCAACACATCTATTATTATCTCTTAATATTAAAATGTGACATTGTATCTGGAAAAAAATTTTATGCATAGAAATGTTCTTGGGTGGGATGAAAAAAAATTAACAAAACACAAAATTTCAGTGGATTAAATGTCAATATAGTGAAATGGAAGAGAATTTAATACAAAGAACCCTATCCCCCTTGGCTCACATGTGCCAGTGAGCCCTTACTATGTGTACCACTGTGACTCATTTTCTCCTTTGTCCTATAGAGATGACAGCAGCCCCTTCCCACTACACGTACTGCCCAGAACACTGTGCATTCTGTATAAATGTTTCTCAATAAAATGTGTGATGTTTCAAGCCAGAAGCTCAAAATCTTCCAATCTCTCTTTGTCTGTTACCTTCCTGCCTCCATCTCATAAGAATGCCATTGAGCCCCCTCACAATCCGGACTAATCTGCCCATCTAAAGATTCTGAATTTAATCATATGTTCAAAGTTCTTTTTATCATGTATACTTAAAGTTTCTTGAGATTTGGATTTGGGCATCTTTGTGGGCCATTGTTCTGCTGAATCCACCTTCTAGCTCACCTACTTTGAGCTACTACTTAAAAACCAAAGTTGACAGACATATTGACAGATAGAAGGACAAATGGCCCCACTGGAAGCACCTGTCTTTCTCACTGTTCCAACTCCACAGTAGCAAGATTCCTTGTTTTCAGCAGAAAATATATTAAAATATCTTTTTATTTGCTTTGGGGAGTGAGAAAGATTTTGAGTTGAGAGATCACCTTAGAAAAATTCTGAAGTGTCAATAGTGATGAGAAAATATTAGGAGGGAGTGTGGGGCCCTTGCAGGTTATTGTTTAACTGATACGAGCATCACCTGACTTCTAGGTGTCAGAGGTTGTCATCCCGGTCAGTGAAATCCCAAACTACATTGACTTGGTGATTTCCTACATCTGGTTTGTCACAGGTCCTGCTGTCTCCTCAAAGGAGAAGTGTCGATAGGAAGGGGACTGATAAAGGATAAAGAAAGAATCCTTTGGTTCATGCTTGAGAATTGATCAGAGAAGTAAGAGGGGATATTTGATTCAACTCCAAGTAGATACATTCAAATCCCGATTCTAGCTAAAACTCCTGCTCAGCACCAGGCTCCATTTGCAGGTGATAAACTAGTGGTCCAGACTTTGGGTTGCCCCCAGCATTTGATTATTGTTAATGTTTCCCCCAGTTATTCACAAGGATCTACAGAGTAATCTTTGATTATTCTCACCTCTTCTTACTCATGTCTGATGCTGCTGCAAAATCCATCATCATCCCACACACCACATCTTTACTGGCCACTGGCCCCCTGTGGCCTTCCTGACAGCTCAGACCATTCCTCCTCCTACTTGGGTCTTGGAAACAGTGGTCTCTAGTTGGGAAGTACAAAGTGTCAGGGATCTCCAACCAAGAATATCAGCATCTTCATTTATGGAGGAACATGACCCAGAGCTCAGAGGGCTGAATCAGGCAAGAATGCTCCAATGCCTTGCTGTGCCAGTGACATCTGCCCTGCAGTGGTTGATACATTGTGTCAACTTAGAGAGTCTAGAGGTTTGGCTAAGCAACTTAGCAGGAAGCCAGGGTGCTTACTTTGTATACATCCTGAGCCTGTGTAAGAGGAGGGCATGGAGATTATGTGAGAGCTACATGCCCCTTAGGTGGGGGTAGCCTGTTTACAATGTAAGGGAGGGGGAGAGGCTGCTGGCCGGGATTCCTCCTGTTTGCTCTGGCTGCTTTGCTGTTCGGCTGCCATTCCCCCCTTTGTTCTTGTTGCTTTGTTATCTTCTGCCTCGGAGCCAGACAAGTATGGACTGAAACCTCCACAAACTGTAAGCTAAATAAACCTTTCCTTCCTTCATTTTGGGCGTTGGGTATTTTGTCTCAGCAATGAGAGAAAAATAACCAAGACATGCCCATAAAAGACATGCAGGCAATTCCTGTGTCTGCTCCTTCCATTCTCTAGGCTCTCCAAGTATAATGCACCAACGTTCCTAAAATTCACTACCTTGAAGTACAATTTCAGATATTATTTATTGTGATGTCAAAATAACATCCACACAGTGGGCAACACCCAAGAGCCCCCGTACTCATAACAAACCCACTTTCTCTCAACAATTTCCCCTTGTCTTAGTCTTACTGAAGTATAATTTATATACAGTAAAGTTCATCCATTTTACATATGTAGGAGGAAAAGGCTTCATGTATATGCAATCATGAAGATGCTACAACTGTCAAGACACTATTTTGAGAATTCCAGGATTTGCTTCACGCCCCTGAGGTAAGTGCACTTCCCCTTCTCACACCTTGACCACCAACCTGACTCATATTCCTACAGTGTTACCTATCCAGAACACCATACACAAGCCATCCACTGTGTAGTTTTTGTTGTGTTTATATTTGCGTTCTTTCAGTGAATATAATGCTTTTGAGTTTTATCCATGTATTGTGTGAATTAATATTGCATTTTTTATTTCTGGATAGTATTTTAATTTACTATTAATTTGCTATTTATAACACTATAATCTTAATTTGTTATTCATAACACTTTTCTTTCTAGTTTGTATCAGTTGTGAATAAAGGTGCTATTTACATACGAATTTGGGGGCCTGCATGTTTTCTTTTCTCCTGAGAAAATACAGAAGAATAAAGTTGTTGAGTCACATAAAAGTATATGTTTAACTTTTAAGAATTTTGCCTTCTTGTCAGCAACATACAAGAATGTCAGTCCCTCCCTGTTGTGACCAATTTGGATTGCCATTGTTGGTCTTTGTAATTTTAGGTAATTTAGTACACAAGTAATGGAATCTCTTTGTGGTTTTGATTTGTATTTCCTTGATGACAACTGAGGTTGAATATTTTTCTGTGTGGCTATTCACTTTCCTTGATAAAATATCTGTCTAGTTCATTTTCTCATTTTAATAGGTTTTTTTATATCTTGTTTTTCTTATGCTGCAATCAGTCTTTTCTCAGTATAGGTTTGTACATTTTTATTCAACTCTACCTTGCCATTTCATTGCCTTAACAGAGTCCTAAGAAGAGTAAAAGATTTTAATTTTTATGAAGTTCATTAATATTTTATGTCTTGTGGTATATTTATTTCTATAAGACCTTTTTGCATAACCCATTAACCAAGATTTCCTCTGTTTTATCCTAGAAATTTTATAGCTTTATTTCTTATATTTAAGTCTCTTATTCCTTTCCAGTTAGGTCATTGTTTGAGATAAAGGTGCTTCAAATTAATTGTTCAAACATTATTTGTCAAAATATTATTTATCTCAGTTTAATTACCTTGGCACTTTTATCATACACAAGTTGATAGGACACATGAGTTTATCTTTTAACTCTCCAGTTTCATTGATCTACTTTTCTGTTATGATGCCCACACCTCTTTGTCATAGTGAAACTTGAAATCAGGTGGGCCAGTCCTTCGACCTTCTTTTCTCTTTCAACAACATCTTGGCTATTCTATTTTCTTTGTATTTTCATATAATTTTTATAATCAGATTGTTGATCTCTACAAAAAAATTCTCACTTGTGTTTTGTCTGGGGTTGCACTGAGACATACATTGATTTGAGCAGAATTGAGCAGAATATGGAGCATTCCAGTTCATGAATGTGATATATCTCCATTTACCCATTTATCTTGTTTTGTGGTTTTCAGGATGTAAATGTTTGCCCTAAAGATTTTATTTATTGGTGATACAGTAGAATGATGTTCTTTTTAAAAATTCCATTTCTAAGTGTTCCTCACTTCTATATAGAAATACAATTAACTTTTATATATTTACCCTTGTCATCCTGAGACCTTCCCAACTTCACACAAGAATTGTCATCATTCTTTTGTGGGTTTTATTACTTTCTACATAAACTATCATGTTGCCTGCAAATAAAGAACTTTGTTTCTTCATCTCCAATTTCTATGACTTTAATTTTTTGTAACTTGATATACTGCCTTGGATCTCTAAATGCTAAAGAGAAGTAGGCACATTTCCCCTGTTCTTTAGGGGAAAGCCTTCAATTCTTTACCATCATACATACTATTGATTGTACCTTCTGCCAGGGGAAGGCTGTTCCCTTCCATTTCCAATTCATTGACTTTCTAGAACGCCCTGGGACCATACCTCTTTACATAGACTTATCCTGGAAGAGACAGAAAATAAAACTCAATGGTTTTTCTATAACTCAGGCAACCTCCTAAAGAATAGGTGAACAGCAACCAGCATCACAGGAAACTTGAAGGCATGGAACTTGAGCAAAGAGAGCATGTCTGTGTGTACACACTCAAAATTTGAGAAGATACTAGTTTACCAGGCTACTCATGCTGCTTTCACCATGAGGAAACAAAGGCTTGTGACACTGTGTAGATGAATAGAGTACACATTCAGTCACTGAGATTTGAAGTAAACAGAATTCTATAGGTGTTCATTGAGCTATACTGCTTTGAAGTGATGATTTCAGATTGTATATACATTGATTTTTATGTTGGGCAAGAATCTGATTCTGTATTCATTGCCTGCATAAAGACTGAGCTAAAACAGTTACATACATATTTACTCTAGTAGAATGTAGACTGTGGCATTATAAGGTCAATCATGTGTGTTCATAAGTGCACATACTTCACACATGCACACACATCCCACAGGGGTTCATGTTCATATGGTCTCACTTGTATACACATGCACACAGGCATACACACACCTCTCAACCTGGTGCCAAGCATCTTTAGTAACAATAGCAGCTCAACCTTATCTAATCAAGAACCTTTCAGATAAAAGTCTCTGAGGCTCCTTAACATCTGTGTAGAAACCCTACTGACCAGCCAGCCAGTAAGAGACAGGAACTACCACTTCAGTATTTGGTTGCACAAAAACATATTTCCGACTCTGGAGATGAGAGAAGCCTGAAGGCAGGGGCAACAGGAAACTGAATTTGAGATGAGCTGTGGAGTTGATTGGAACCATAGGCGATTCCTGCCTAAATGGCGGAGAAGATGTTATAGGGATAAAGTACAAGCAAAAGGGTTACTGGCTCTTGGTGCTTCAAAAGAAAGGGAAGGAGCACAGAGAAGGCTTGGATACAAGCAAGACAGCAGCTTTAAGCTCACTGCCTGAATGAATTTGAGGCTTCCCCTATGGACAGCATCCTATTCTGTGAATAGTTGGAAACCTAAGAATGTTAGGGGAGGACAATAAGCCAGATGTTATGGACAAACCCTGTCAATCTGGAGACAGCTGTTGTTGAGATCAATACTTGACAAGGAATTGTAGAATGGTCCTGTGTTTGACAGCTGACCTCATGGGTATCAAACACTGTGACTGTGGGACCCTT